ATCTAGCAAGTACAAAAAGGAAGAAGAGATCTTCTTTTTCCCAACAAACAGGTAAAGTAATTGTCAGTAAGTAAAACACAACACACACATACTCAACATCATAGGATATATATATATATATATATTCATATCCTGATCTCATTTTCCTAACTAGTTAAACATTAGTCTATTCACATTATAGATGAGATAATTCAGTTAGTGGAAATGTTATGTACTACAATTGATGAAAGTAGATGTGACTGTTGCACTTAGAACTACCACTAATAACACACTATTGTAATGATATTTGAATATATTTGCTATATATATATATGTACATTTGATATATATCCAAATCTCCTTTATGATTTACCCTTCTGTCTCTATTCTTACTTTCTTAATTTGTGAAATACACAATCTAGGCTTATTTAATCAGATGTATGGACTAGCCTAACTCTGCAATTTTATAAAATCTGTTTGGTGTAGGATTCAACACAAACATATCACCAAGTAAAACAGCAAATGTTCAACGGAGTGAGAAAATCAGAATGAGAATAATCACAGAAAAAAAAGTTAAAAGCTGCCTGTGAACAGAGAAGAATCCATTCAACATCATGTAAAACAGAAAAAGTAACCAACTAAAGCATCTCATGCTTCAAATCTTACCCCTCTGGAGACGAAAAAAGAACTGCCATGTTCTAAGACCATCTTGGGCTACAGACTAGCCTAGGCCTCAGAGTACTTTCTTTCTCACCTCCTGACCAAAGGAAAACAAATGTATTCCTAAACATTTAATACTTTTACCTATAATATGGGCAAAAGTTGTAGAGAAAAAGACACAGATTGAGTATCCAATTATCCAAAATACTTAATATCAAAAGTGTTTCAGCTTTGTTATAAGATTGTAGAATATTTACATGGATGAAATAAAACATCTTGAGGAAAGGACACAAGTCTAAACAAGAAATTTGCTGACGTTCCATATATACACAGTCTGAAGATAATACTATCCAATGCTTATAACTGCATCTCTGTTTGTTTTAATTAGGAAATATTCCTTGTGTATATTACTGAGTTTCACAAGCCTATTTTTATACAATTATATAGCACACATTGGCCATTTCCCTGCCCATATCTGTCTTTTCCCCCTTTTTCTTTTTCTCTTTCTTCTACACTCTTGGTGGTCCTCCTATGATTCCACAACAACCAAACTCATGGCATTAGATACGGAATTTCTTTCTTGTATACTATTGTATAATACTGGTGGTCAACTTTTCTGATTCTGTAACACCAATGACTTAGATTAGAGATGTTCAACATGAATTCATATGTACTCTTGGCAACACTTTAAACTGATAAATACTGGAAGGCACAATTGTAATATAATTCAAATTATTAAATGAAGAATACACTTGTAGAATTTATGCTACAGCCCATCCCACAAAAAAGGACATACAGAATCATATATGCCACTTAATTTTAGTAGCAGTAAAACAAAGTGTCTGAAGCCAGGGGAATGGTTAAATGTACTAACACAGAAACACAAACACATAATTATATAAACATGTAAAAAGAACAAAATTGGTAAATATAGAAAAATACCAATGTAAATTACAGATGGGAAGGAAAAACAATGGAAAATGTTTTTAAATGTTTCCTGACACATACTATAGATCGTAATGTAAAAAATGGGTAATAATGGTTTTCTTTCCAGAAAGTCTGAGTCTAGAATTGAAGAGCAAATTTCTCCTTTCTGTCATCATCTTACGTAGAACAAACAAACTACATGGGTACTTTGTTATAAGCATAAATATTTAGTACTAAAATATAATTATGATAGTGATACGTCAAATCATTGGAAAAATTTTAAACATGAAGACAACTATAACAAATACGAAAAACATGAAAACTACTAACGCTTTTTTTCAATGCAAAAGTTCTTCAGTACACTCTAATCACCACAGATCTCCCCCTCTTCATCTCTCTCCTCCTCCATTCTATCTCTCCAAACTGACAAACAAATCAGACATATGGCAAAAGCACTCATTTTGAAGACAGGATAGCATGCTTCCATTTATTAGTTGTAAAGACTTATGTACAAAACTTAATGCCTACATTTAATTGAACTACTAAAAGGTTCAAATAAATTATGAAGACCCCATTGACCACAATGACTAATTGTGAGACCTACATATTACGTGAATGGCATGTAGGAAACATTTGAAATCTTAAGGGTATAATCATAAAAAGATATGCCTTTTTCAAATCCACAAGAATATTTTGTGAGGATAAGATTTGGATATTAACTCACAACATATGCTCATAACAAAAACTATGAGATTTCCTGGGAAATAAGGTTGACAAATGATGTATATTTAAGAAGTGAGACAGTGTAAGCCCTATGGTACCAGTCTTCCTCAAATATCAACCATAAATTTCAGAGTCATTAGTATTCCATGATGCAATTATTGTGATGCATGGTAAATCAAAAAATTAATATCCTATTACTTAGCAAAATAGCAGTTATATGAGGAACAGCACACATATTAAATAATAAAGTCTATACCTTAAATAATAATATCTAGGCAAAACAAATTTGGCTAAAGAGTAAAACATAGCTAGTACATGAATTTATGTCTGATCCCACTTATTGTGAATAGCAATACATACATATATATGTAGAATGCTTTGGCAGAAATATGAATTCCAGGACATGAGGCACAGGAATTAATAATGTGTAAAAATAAAAGGTACCTTTCTTCTGGGAAGCAAATGTCAAGGCCAGTTTTGCAAAGAGATCTGGAGTCTCAAACTTGTCTTCTTTTACTTTTAGCCAGAAACAGTTTTCCGATAATTCTCTAGGCTCAATCTAAAACAAAATAACAATGATAAGTTTTAGTGTTGTTACTTACTGTTTAATTTTTCAAAGACTGTCTTTCCTTTGTTCATCTATGCACTATAACAATTTCAAATATATAAAATTACACTCATAAATATTCAGAGGAACACTTACAATTCTGTCATTATACAGAAATGCTACACAAAAGTAATGGGTCATAAACTAAAATACATTTGAAAGCACCTACTGAAAAGACCCTCAAAATAATATAGTATATTCCTCTTCTACTTGCATACATTATCCTTGTTCCGAGATTTTTTTTTTAATTTTTGATGTTCCAATTATTATATTTTACTGTGAAATTTTAATACATGTACAATATGTAAATTGCTTTCCCTTCCCTAAACCATCTTGTCCTCCCATTTGTTTGGGCCCTCCCTCCATGCAATTTAATTTAAATGTTTAAAATGAAAACACTTAGGCCCAAAAACACCAAAGACAATAGGATCTTAACAAGAAATAATATTAAGAATGTGACAATACTTAGCATTTACAATTATGAAATTATTTGAATCATCCAGTTCATGGATTTTGCAATTTGATTTTCCTTTGTCTTTACCATCATTTTGACGTTTTGAGTAAGCTACCTGTGATCTAGGACACACATTTAAAGATGAACATAGGGTGCTTAACAGAGAAAGGAAAGCAATAATGGCAGTAATCACAATGTTAAACTCACAGCAATGCATTTCTCACACATTGTCAGTCCCAGTAGAAGCAAAAAAGGTCCCTAGAGTTAGACTTACAATCTTACCTTGGACCAGTTGATTCTTTTCATGGATACTTCTGGCTTATATAGTTTTTTCTGCTTCATTCCAAATGGAAGAGAAATTGGTACTGATGGGGGAAGGTGAAATCCTCCAGGGGGTGGTACTGGAGGAGGGCCTCCAAACAGGGGTGATGGTAGTGGTGGTGCAATACCAAGAATTCCAGGTAACGGTGGCGGAGGAGGAGGAGGAGGTACTCCTGGAAGTGGAGGAGGTGGTGGTGGTGGAGGAGGAGGAGGAGGAGGTGGTGGGCATGGCCCAACAGATGACAGTGGAGTTGCTGGAGATGGTGCATGTAGGCCTGAAACTGCAGATGGATCTCCCTGAAACACAAACAAGTTTAAATGTTTCCAGAAATGTATAACACAAAGTATGCACATCTGTTAGGAGTTAGGATTTAAGACTTTATATACCTTTCTAAACTTTCAAGATTATACATTTTATCAGTATAAATAAAGACTTTTTGGTATACACAGTTTAGTCCTGCAGACAATGACTATTTCTGCTAACATTAATAAAAGGAAAATTTGCAGTTTGTAAGATTTTTATGAAAAGCTCTTATAGAATGAAACACTACCTTTCACTATAAACATAGCCAAAGAAATATGAAATATGGCTTAAAACTGTTAACCTAGCTTATTAAAATTTGATTAAAGTATGACAAGGTCATGGATTCAAATCCCTTGGGTGTCAATTAGTCTAATAGAGAGTATTTCACAGTACCAATAATTTAGCTGTCTCCACATAAAAGTGACTAATACTAAGTAGAATCCATTTGCATAGTAATATAAGCATATCAACATTTTACATTATTGGTTCCATTTGTGTTTATTATAACCTTGTAACATAGATAGGACATTTAATCTTTATCTCAATGCTTATAGATGAGGAAACTAAACGCAAAAACATTACCTTAACACTGAGTATATAAGTCATTTACTGGTGTGCTTGCCTTACATACAGGAAACCCCAAGTTTGAACCTAGATACTATGAAAAGATGTCTGTAATGACTAATCAATAAAGCACAGTGGAAAACATGAGGATCTACATTTGAATGTGATTCTTCTCTTTCACTTCTGCTCTCTTCATGAAAGAGTTTCATTTGTCACAGAAATTCACTCATACACAGAGTTCATGAGAAGAAACTCGGTTCTAATGTCAAAAACTAACTTCAACATTGTTCTCCACTGGCAGTTAATTACAGATGAATAACTTAAGAATTTTAACTTAAGTAAATATATACTCTAGAAGATTGAAGCCTCTCAGCACCAAATCATGTTTATCCTCATTGAATAATTAAAATTTAAATAATAAAACTGAGATATAATATAGCAGTGTAGTTGATACTGCTTGCTAGGTCACGCTGGCCCAACCTGGAATATATAGAAAATTTCAGACTATCCTGGGTCATGTTGTGAGAGTGTACCAAAAAAAAAATAGAGAGAGAGAGAGAACAAAAAGGAAAGAAGGGGGCTCACCATCATCTGTGAGTAGATAAGTATAAGCAAGAGATGGCTTTTCTAACATACACAAAACAAACATAAAAGGTACTGCAGATAGCCAGGCATGGTGGAATGCATCTTTAATTCCAGCACTTGGAAGGCAGATGTAGAGGGTTTTCTGTGAGTTCAAGACAATCCTGGACTGCACAGAGAACCAGGCTCTCCAGGGCTACAAAATGAGAACCTGTCTGAAAAGTAAACTTGAAAACAACAAAAGGTACTTGATGGGGGAGGTCCTTCTGTGTATATGTTTCTCTTATTGGTTGATAAATAAAGTGCTTTTGGTCAATAGGAAAGCAAGACAGGTGGGACTAAGAGTCAAGGAGGATTATGGAAAATGTAGTAAAGAGATCCAGACAGGAAGTAACATAGCAGGCAGACTCAGAATATAAGCAGGGAGAAGAAGGAAATCGTCCACTTGCTCTTCCTCTTCCATCTGCTCTCTTCTATATGGAGCCACCATGTGATCCTGGAAAGATGACTTCTGCTGATGTCCTCAATAAGATAAATCTTATCTCATGGGATCAGAACTCCACCAGCAGGCTCCAGCACACCCAGAGACTGACAAAGCCCTGGTAACAGTTCCGCTTCCATCCAATGGCCCAGGTAGGACAGGGGCTGCTTCCGGTTCCGGTTCCCCTGCCCTGCTCGGGAATACCTGACACCTGGGAAAAGTGCACGGGATTCGAACTAACACAAAATATCCGGGAAATATTGGACACCATGAAAAGACCAAACCTAAGAATAATAGGTATAGAAGAAGGTAAAGAAATCCAACTCAAAGGCTAAGAAAACATATTCAACAAAATCATAGAAGAAAACTTTCCCAACCTAAAGAAGCATGCCAATGGAAGTACAAGAAGCCTACAGACACCAAATAGACTCGACCAAAAAAAAAAAAAAAAAAAAATACCTCCTCGCCACATAATAATCAAAATCCCAAACATACAGAATGAAGAGAAATTATTAAGAGCAGCAAAGGAAAACGGTCAAGTAACATATAAAGGCAAACCTATCAGAATTACACCTACATTTTCCATAGAATCTCTGAAAGCCAAAAGGTCCTGGATAGATATTCTACCTACACTAAGAGACAATGGATGCCAGCGGAGACTACTATACCCAGCAAAGCTTTCAATAAATATAAATGGAGAAAACAAGATATTCCATGACAAAACCAGATTCAAACAATATATATCAACCAATCCAGCCCCACACAAAGTTCTGGAAGGAAAACTGCAACTCAAGGAAGTTAACTACAACCAAAAAAATATAGGCGATAGACAATCCCACTTTACCAACAGAGAAAAGAAAAAAGGAATGGAAAGCCACACGTAATTTCACCACGACCACCAAATCCAAAACAAACAAGAATGATCAATCAATGGTCATTAAAATCCCTCAAAATTAATTGTCTTAACTCACCCATAAAAAGACACATGTTAGCAGAATGGATAAGAAGAAAGAATCCAAGCTTCTGCAGCATAAAAGAAACACACCTCAACTTCAAAGACATACAGTACCTAAGAATTAAAGGTTGGGAAAAGATTTTCCAATTAAATGGACCCAAGAAAAAAGCAGAAGTACCAATCCTAATATCCAACAAATTGGACTTTTAACTAAAATCACTCAAAAGAGATGAATAAGGTCACTTACAACTCATCACAGGAGAAATCCATCAGGATGAAGTCTTATTTCTGAACATTTATGCCCCAAATAAAAAGGCATCCCCATTTATAAAGAAACATTGCTAAAACTCAAATCACACATAAAACCGCACACACTTATAGTGGGAGACTTCAACACCCCACACTCACCACTGGACAGAAACACCAGACAGAAACTTAACAACGAAACAAAGGAACTAATAGAAGTTATGGCCCAATTGGGCTTAACAGACAAATATAGAACATTCCATCCAAATAAAAAACAAAATACATTCTTCTCAGCACCACATGGAACCTTCTCTAAAATAGACCACATACTTTGCAACATACTAAACCTCAACAGGAACTAAAAAATTAAAATAACCACCTGTATCTTATCAGAAAACCATGCTTTAAAGTTAGAATTCAACAACAGCATGATTTGCAGAAAACCAACAAACAAATGGAAATTCAGTAACGCCCAATTGCACAATTCCTGGGCCCAGGAAGAAATTTAAAAAATATGAAATTAAACATTTCCTAGAATTTAATGAGAAAGTGGACACAACATCCCCAAACTTATGGGACACTTTGAAAGCAGAGTTAAGAGGAAAATTCATAGCACTAAATGCCCACATGAAGAAACAGGAGAATAATCACACTAGAGAATTAACAGCACAACTGAAAGCTTTAGAAAACAAAGAAGTCAATACACTCCGGAGGACTAAACACCAGGAAATAATCCAATTGAGGGCTGAAATCAATAAAGTGGAAACTAGGAGAATAATACAAAGAATCAATGAAACAAAGAGCTGATTCTTTTAGAAGATTAACAAGACAGAAAAACCTTTATCCAAACTTACCAAAAGAAAGAGGGTGAACATACAAATTAATAAAATCAGGAATGAAAAGAAGGACATAACAACAGACACAGAGGAAATTCAGAGAATCATCAAGTAATACTTCGAAAACCTGTATTCCTCAAAATTCGAAAATATATAGCAAATGAAAAATTTTCTGGACAGATTTCACTTACCAAATTAAATCCAGAACAGATAAGCATCTTAAAAAGACCTATAACCAATAATGTAATAGAAGCAGTCATCAAAAGCCTCCCAACAACAACAACAAAAAAAAAAACCCCAGGACCAGATGGATTCAGTGCAGAATTCTACCAGAAATACAAGAAACAGAAAATACCAATTCTCCTCAAAGTATTCCACACAAGAGAAGCAGAAGTGTCATTGCCAAACTCTTTTTACCAGGCTTCAATAACCTTGATACCCAAGCCACACAAAGACACAACTAAGAAAGAGAACTACAGACCAATATCCCTCATGAACATTGAAGCAAAAATGCTCAATAAAATACTGGCAAATCGATTAAAAGAACATATCAGAGAAACCATCCACCATGAGCAAGTAGGCTTCATCCAAGGGATGCAAGGATGGTTCAACATAAGAAAATCCATCAATGTAATCCACCATATGAACAAACTGAAAAAGAAAAACCACATGATCATCTCGCTAGAAGCTGCAAAGCCTTTGACAAAATCCAACATCCCTTCACCATAAAATTCTTGGAGACAACAGGAATAACAGGAACATAACTAAACATGATAAAAGCAATCTACAGCAAGTCAAAAGCCAACATCAAATTAAATGGAATGAAACTCAATGCAATTCCTCTAAAATCGGGGTCAAGACAAGGCTGTCCACTCTCTCCACACCTCTTCAATATTGTCCTTGAAGTTCTAGTTAGAGGAATAAGACAACAAAAGGAGATCAGGGGATACAAATCAGAAAGGAAGAAGTCAAATTTTCACTATTTGGAGAAGATATGATAGTCTACATAAGTGACCTGAAAAACTCTACCATGGAACTCCTACCGCTGATAAACACATTCAGTAAAGTGGCAGGATACAAGATTAACTCAAAAAAAATCTGTAGATGACACATTCATGGAGAAAGAAATCACAGAAACATCACTCTTTACAATTGCCACAAACAACATAAAATACCTTGGGCTAACGCTAGCCAAAAAAGTGAAAGACCTGTACCATAAGAATTGTGAGTCATTAAAGAAAGAAATTAAAGAAGATGCTAGAAAATGGAAGGATCCCCCCAAGTTCTTGGATAGGTAGGATCGGCAGAGTAAAAAACGGCAATCTGCCAAAAGCAATCTACAGATTAAATGCAGTCACAATCAAAATCACAACACAATTTTTCACAGACCCTGAAAGAACAGTTATCAACTTTATATGGAAAAACAACAGATGAGGATAGCCAAAACAACAATGTACAATAAAGGAACTTCTAGAAGCATCATCATCCCTAACTTCAAGCTCTATTTCAGAGATATAATCCTGGAAACAGCTTGGTATTGGCAAAAAATAGACAGGTAGACCAATGGAATAGAGTTGAAAACCCTGATACTAACCCACACACCTACAAACACTTGATTTTTACAAAGAAACTAAATTTATAGGATGGAATAAGGAAAGCATCTTCAACAAATGGAGCTGGCATAACTGGATGCTGGAATGTAGAAGACTGCAGATAGATCTATGTCTATCGCCATGCACAAAACTTAAGTCCAAATGGATCAAAAACCTCAGCAAAAGTCCAGCCACACTGAACCTATTAGAAGACAAAGTGGAAAATACCCTAGAATTTATTGGTACAGGAGACTGCATCCTGAACATTACACAGGTAGCACAGACACTGAGACCAATAATTGATAAATGGGACCTCCTGAAACTGAGAAGCTTCTGTAAGGTTAAGGACACAGACAGTAAGACAAAACAGCAGCCCACAGACTGGGAAAAGATATTCACCAACCCACATCTGACAGACGGCTGAACTCCAAAATATAAAATGAACTCAAGAAGCTAGTCTCCAAGACACCAAATAATCCAATTAAAAAGTGGGGTAAAGAACGAAATAGACAATTCTCAATACAACAATCTAAAATGGCTGAAAGGAACATAAGACAGATTTCCAAGTCCTTAGCCATCAGGGAAATGCAAATCAAAACAACTCTGAGATACCATCTTACTCCTGTTAGAATGGCCAAAATCAAAAACACCAATGACAGTTTATGCACGAGAAGATGTGGAGAATGGGTAAACTACACCCTCACTTTTGCCTTACTTTCAGCTCAGTATGGGGTATGACTTTCAGAGAGATTATGGAGAGCTTAATTTTTGTCTGGAAATTTGCTGGAAATCCCACTCTTAGTCATATACGTAAAAGTAGCACATACATACAACAAGGACATCTGTTCAACAATGTTCATAGCAGCATTATTTGTAATAGCTACAACCTGGTAGCAACCTAGATGTCCCTCACCTGAAGAACGGATAGAGAAAATATGGTACATTTACACAATGGAGTACTACTCAGCAGTAAAAAGCAATGGAATCTTGAAATTTGCAGGAAAATGGATAGAACTAGAAGAATCCATTTTGAGCAAGGTAACCCAAACACAGAAAGACAAACATGTTATGTACTGACTCATATGTGTGTTTTAGACATAGAGTAAAGGGTTACCAGCCTACAATTCATACTGCCAGAGGAGCTAGTAAAAAAGGAAAACCCTAAGAGAGACATATATGGTCCTCCAGAGAAGGGGAAAGGGGCAAGATCTCCTGAGCAAATTGGGAGCAAGGGAGGAGGGGGGAGCTATGAGAATGAGAAGGGGGAAGAAGAGGGATGAGGAGGACATGATGGAGCAAAAAGGTTGACTCATTGGAAGAATAGAAGAAAACAAGAAAGGAGATACCATAATAGAGGGAGAAATTTTAGGTTTACAGAGAATTCAGGCACAAGAGAAAGGTCTGGAGATCCACAAAGATGACACCAGCTAACAATCTAAGCAACAGAGGAGAGGCTACCTTAAATGCCCTCCCCTGATAATGAGATTGATGACTGACTTATATGCCATCCTATAGCCTTCATCCAGAAGCTGGTGGAAGTAGAAGCAGACACCTACAACTAGTCACTGAACTGAACTGGAATCCAGTTGCATAGAAGGATGAGTGATGAGCAAGTGGTCCAGACCAGGCTGGTGAAACCCACAGAAACAGCTGACCTGAACAATGGGGAACTCTTGGTCCCCAGACTGATAGATAGGAAACCAGCATGGGACTGATCCAGACCCCAGGAATGTGGGTTTCAGTGAAGAGACCTCAGAAATATATGGGACCTCCTGTAGTATTTCAGTACTTACCCCTAGCACAGGTGTGGACATTGGGAGCCCAATCCACATAGAAGGATACTCCATGAACCAAGACACACGGGGGTGGTCCTAGGCCCTAGCCCAAAGGATATGACAGACTTTGATGAGCCCTATGGGGCTCACCCTTCTTGGGGAGCAGAAAGTATATGTGATAGATAGGGGTTTTGTTGGGGGGGCGGTAGAGGAGGAGGAGAGGGAGAGGGAACTGGGATTGACATGTTAAACCATCTTGTTTCTAATTCACATAAAAAAGAAACCAATTTGCCAGCAGCATTTTAAACTATTATAAGACTCTGTGTGATATTCTGCGTGTACATGTGGCTGTGGGGCTTGGGTAGATGGAGTAAAGGCTTATCATTACAGGTACTGTGGTCAAATGTGTCAGGGAAGGGCATGAGTTAAGAGAGGTGTCTTCAATGTATGGTATCTCACCATATTTAATATGTTAACAAGTGTTTCAAATCTCTGAGTATTTTATGTTTATCCAATTTAGTGGCCTATGGAATATTTTCTTTGTGCAAAATCATTAAATATCTCTAAGTAATGTGTTTTAATGTTGGCAGAATGAAAAGGATTGGCCAATATGTTACAGATCTCATGAAAGGAAGGGAAATTGAACAGCAATAGAGGTTGTTGTAACTAGGTGAATAGTCCGAGTCTATGCTGCAAAGGGAGTTAAGTATAAGACATCCCATGTCAGAAGGGTTTAGATATTTGTGGTAGAGATTTTCTTTAATCCCATATACAACAGGCAAGCAGTGTATAAAATAAATCCTCCAGTTATAACAATTAAGACAATGTTTTGTGGGGATTAATTGACATAAAAGTATGAACTTGAAGAGGAAAAGACTATAGACAATAAGAAAATTAGGATACAACTATTATAGTTCAATCAAGGTGTAATGAGAGTGGACCTGAAGGGATTGGGGTCCTGATGAAAAGGTGAAAAAAGTCACTGGAATAATTTAAATAAAATAACTAATTTCATTTGTCAAGAGCAGGGCAAGAAACAAATCAAACTTCAGCCTTAAAAAAAGTGACCAATTTTAAAACAAGTCGAAATGGAGACTAAGGTAGCTTAAGGAAACTGAAAAGATCAAAAATATTGAATTTTAGTTCAATACAAAAGACATGCCTATGAGGACAGCTGGAAATGCAAGATAGACTCAAATGTCTTGACATACAATAAAAGATGATATATGAGCATATGAAACTGAGTTGGACATTTGTGCAAGGAAGTACAAAGCAGAGAAAAATGCCAAGGGCAGAGAGAAAACAGATACCTCACAATCAGAGAATGAGAAAAGGAGAGAAACAAAGTTCTCAGACACACAGAAAGGGAAGTAGAATAAAACTGACAGGAGAAACAAAGACTTAAATAGTAGATATGAATGATACTGGCTATGGGTATCAGAAAGCTACCACCATAAATACTTTGCAGCTTACCAGTGACTTAGGAAGTAATTTCTCGGTATATTTTTTGGGACACACATAGTGAATCATGTACCTACTGGACATTATCTATTTAAAGGTAGTCTCTTCAAATTCATATTATTCTTTTAAGCCACAAAATGTGTAGAGATTACACTTAATTTTAAAGTTTAGACATCTTACTAAGTGTTTTTCTGTGCAGGGGAATTTAGGTAGAAATAACGTGTATAGACTTTGAATGGAAGATAGTCTAGATATAAGATCTCAAGAAGTCTTTTGGTTAATTAAAATTCATGAGCATTTCTATATTCTTTTTGAAAGAAAATACTATGCACTCAATTTTTCAAATCATCATGAAAATTTCATGTCATAAACAGTTTGGCTTGGATAATGTATTCTGCTAAAATTATTCAGTGCAGTTCGAGCAAATGAAACCTCTATTTATTTCCAAACCTTAAAATGATTTACTAATGGAAAAATAAAATCTGTACCCTTTTCAACTAATATGTGAAACTGTCAACAACAACCAAAAAGTCTGTGATCACAGTTTTCCCACTGACTAACAAGATAGTTTTCTAGCCACAAATTCACTGTGACCAAAGTCTACACTTTCTTCCATTACCTGTAGTCTAAGTTGCTGGATTTCTGTTTCCAGTTCTTTGATTTTTTCGTCTCTTTTCTGAAGCTCTGCTTGAGCTTCCTGTCGAGCTGTGAATTCTTCATCAAACTGCAATGACCATGATTAGAAATGTACGGTTATTGATACTTATTGGGGTAAGATTTAAAGGACATTATATAGTAATTATGTAGCATGGGTTTTGCTATGCTGCATTCACAGATCACTCTGAGAGATAAAGGTCTTTCTCTGAAAAACTAAGAAGCCACTTGCAGAAATTTTACTTTTTAGAAAAACTGGGGGAAAAAAAGGGGTGGATAATGAAGCGTCTGTTCACATGTAATGGAAAGTTTATTATAGAAAATTCAATTGTGGAATTAATATTGTTTATTAATAATTTGCCCATATTTAATGCATTTTCAATTTCTTAAGCATATTTAATCTTAAAAACAATCGCATTTTTGAAATGATCGGATGTATGTACATTAACACAAAATGGACTGGGAGATTATTGTTGCCATAAACCTCATTGCTTAGCATCCAAAAAGAGGTGCTTCATAAAATCTGACTGCACAATGATATACACTGAAATTCTACTCTCTATCAGATGGTTTAAAAAAGTCCTCTCTAAACAATTCAAGAAAGGAAAATGAGGGAAGAAAATATGGTTCCAAGGGCAGAGGTGCTTGTGCCAAGGCATAACAACCTGAGTTTGATCCTTGAACCCCATAAGATGGCAGGATAAAACTGCATCCTTTGACCTCGCCACATGGGCAGACACACAATAGTAGTATGTGGACACATGCACAAGCATGTGTGCATATGTGGATGGACCAGAATAAATCAGTAATTGCATAATACATCCAAGAAAAAAGAAGACAAAAGGTGTGAAAAGTAAAAATATGGGGTACTAAAGATACCAACTCTCCAAAAGGTGGAAGTACACTTCCTGCATCATGTCCTAGCTCTTACCTCAGTCATTACCCTAAACAGATGTAAGTTGAGCAACATATTTACAAAAATTCTGTACAGGTCTCACTACAGAATGCTACTTTTTATTGTCGATGTCAACTCAAATAATTTTATGTCTGTAGATAATCCCAACAAAATTATTTGTTTCTAAAATTGATAAATCTTACCATCCAAGACTGTCATTTAAAGAGTATGAAATATAGAGCAACACATTCTCTGTTAGTAAATATTCATCCCCCTACTAAACATGAGCTTTGGATATTAGAGAATGCTAAGGTAAGTCATAAAGTTAAAGAATGAGCAATATGTAAGAGCTGTGTCTTGTTGTCAGATGGCTGAACACTGGGGATCTTTTTTGCATTTGTTTCAATATTCTCTGAAGCCAAAAAGAGAAAGATACTCTAGTAATTATTAACAGGGGGAGCTAGGAAGAAGGACAGAGAGTAAAGAGGGAAGAGAGAGAGGAAAACTTGAAAACTTGATTAAACAGTTATAAAATTGTATATAGGATTTCATCAAATAAGAAAAGGTATATTCCCACTCTTAGGAATATACCCAAAAGAAGCACATTCATACAACACTGACATCTGTTCAACGATGTTCATAGCAGCACTATTTCTAATAGCCAGAACCTGGAAGAAACATAGATGCCCCTCAACTGAAGAATGGATAGAGAAAATGTGGTACATTTACACATTTACACTAAACAGCACAAAAAACAAAGGAATCTTGAAATTTGCAGGAAAATGGATGGAACTAGAAGAAACCATTCTGAGACAGGTAACCCAATCGCAAAAAAGGCAAACATGGTATGTACTCAGTCATATGTGGATTTTAGACATAAAGTAAAGGATTAACAACCTACAATCTATACAGCCAGCTAGTAAACAAAGAGAATCCTAAGAGAGACATACATGGTCCTCTGGAGAAGGGGAAAGGGGCAAGATCTGCTGAACAGATTTGGAGCAAGGGAGTAGGGGGGAGGGAGGTAGGTGAATGAGATGGGGAGAAGAGGAGGGGTGAGGAGGACATGAGGGAGCAAAAAGATTGAGTCGGTGGAAGAATAGAAGAAAACAAGAAAGGAGATGCCATAACAGAGGGAGATATTTTAGGTTTACAGAGAAATCAGGCACTAGGGAAATGTCTGGAGATCTAAAAAGATGATACCAGCTAAACATCTAACCATAGAGGAGAGGCTACCTTAAATGCCCTCCCCTGATAATGAGATTGATGACTGACTTATATGCCATCCTATAGCCTTCATCCATCAGCTGGTGGAAGTAGAAGCAGACACCCAAACTAGTCACTGAACTGAACTGGAATCCAGTTTCAGAGAAGGAAACCCACAGAAACAGCTGACCTGAACAATGGGGAGCTCTTGGTCCCCAGACTGATAGCTGGGATACCAGCATGGGACTGATCCGGACCCCAGGAACAGGGGTTTCAGTGAGGAGACCTTGGAAATCTACAGGACCTCCTGCAGTAGTTCAGTAATTATCCCGAATAGGTGTGGACTTTGGGAGCACAATCCACATACAGCGATTCTCCCTGAGCCAAGACACATGGGGGTGGGCCTAGGCCCTATCCTGAAGGATATGATAGACTGTTCTGACCCCGTATGGAAGGCCTCACCCTCCCTGGGAGGTAGAAACGATTTGGTGGGGGGGGGGACTGGAAGGGGAGGGAGGAAGGGGGAAGAAACCAGGATTGACATGTAAAACAATCTTGTTTCTAATTCAAATAAAAAAAGGAAAGGTATAAAAACATATAGGAAACTGAGTCAACCAACAAAGTCAATTTCATAATGCTAACAGAAAAATCAATAAGTAAAAGAATAACCTCACAGAAAAGAAATTATGTGTGTATCATCAACATATATAGCCACTCTCAGCTGAACATTTAAAATTATTTTAATATTCTTAAATTAAATATTAAAAATAATGTTATTAAATGGAAAAATAGAAAAGATATTTTATTGAGTATTTTTGCATCAATATTCATGAGGGATACTGGTGTTTAGTTCTCTTTCTTACTTGTGTCTTTCCGTGGCTTGGGTATCAAGGTTATTGAATCCTCATAAAAAGAGTTTGGCAG